TAAATCGCATCACCGCTCCCCCCCCCCCTCCCTGTCTTCCGCCTCTACGGATGTAATTGAGAATCTGTGTGAATTCACGTGGGGGATCCAGTTACAGCTTGTTCCGCTCCGGGGAGATTCAATCAGAATCGCCTTTTGGACACGCAGCCTGGTTACTAACCTTTGCACTGCAAGGATCAAGTTCAGCTCCGGTCCCCGCATTGGGACGGGCAGGGAAGCGGCGGGAGACTGCAATCTCACTCGCGAGCCGCCCCGCGCCGCAGCCCCGCGGTGCCCGCAGCCCGGCGGCGCGGATGCAGGTAAGGCGCCCGCCCGCCGACTGCGGCTGCACGAGCCCCAAACTTGGGACCGGCGGGTGCCCGGCGGATGTGCCTTGCTCCAGCCCCGCACCGCTCCGGCTCCTGCGGGTTTTGTAGCGCTGCTTTGTGACTAATGACCTTGCGCAGAGTTGTTCACCAAAAAAAAAAAAAAATCCTCTCTGAACATTTGAGGAAGATGGATCTGGGTGCTTGTCTGCCGAGCAAAGGGACTGCTCTGTAATACCACGGCTCCTCTGCCGCCAAGTGCATCACTGGGATTTTGCATTGTATTTTCTATTCTTTCATTTTCTTTTTTCTGTTTTTTCTTCCCTCCCCCTCTCCATTGCTAAGAGGATTTGTGGAGTTTTCCGGACACGAGCCCTTTGAATGAAGCGATTCACATTTTTCCAGCCACCCCCCCTGCGTGTGCGGAGGGAGGGGAGGGAGGCAGAGAAAAGCTTCGTGCCTCGGTCATAAAGGGCTGGGAGAGAAAAGCGAGCGAGCTACTTAACTCGAGCGGCGAGGAGGACGACCTGGGGGGCTTCGGCTCGCACTCTGCAGCTCCGGCTTTTATTGCAAACCTTGCAAAGTGATTACAGTAAAATCGGAGAGGAGGAGGAGGAAAAGGAGGAGGAGGAGGAGGAGGAGGAAAATCCCGTCCTATCTGCCGAGATGAATCTTTAAACAGCAGCGCACGCTGTCCCGTGAACTGCGAGTGCCTCGCAACTGGGAGAGGAGCCGCCGCCAGGGCTCCGGCCACCGCTTGCACGGGCTCCGGGACCGCAAGTCAGCAGCCGCGGGAGGCTTTTCTCGCCGCTCGCCCGCGT